GTATTTTATTCCAAGGGGTATTTATTGTTCCAGCACATTTTGGATCTCCTATAGGTTCTGTAGATATTTGGGGGGAAACTAAGGAACAGTATAATTCATTAGAAGATTTAGATATCTACCAGAATAGGACTGAAGTTAGGCTACCCAGAGTGAAAAGACAACGGAAGGTAACTGACACAGAATCTGGAGAACATAATTTAATGTCTTTTTAGTAACCCATGAGTGAAAACCAGATTTTAATTCTGTTTTGGCAGGGTGTGGATCGTGAACACAGAAGATATAACACTAGGTTGCATTGATACTGTTCCTGGAAGCCGTTTTGCTTAGCTATTGCAATTCACTTGACAGAGTAGCATAGCTTTTTAAATATTGGCACTTTACTAATTTAGACTCCAGATAGCAGTTAGTTACCATGAGCTAGATTAAGGACTAAGTCCTATATGTTTAGGTTGAAAAGGGTGCTACAACTCCCAGATTCGCCCAGTCATGTGACTGAGGAATGTGGAAATTGCTGGACTTTCTGCAGTCTTAACATGCATAGGATTGTGCCTTATAGCAAGTAAAAAAAGATACTGGAAAAGGAATAGTAAGAATGTCCAGCTTCAGCAAGGTTTGATCATTTCATTTGTGTGCTACCTATTTTTTATTTCTTTTTCATGTTTATCCTTCTACCAAAGCAAGCAAATTCATAAGTCACATCACACTGGATTTAACTGGGCAGCTCAGTAACCAATGTGTTTTTTAATCTGAAGTGCTGAGTGTTATTACAGGAATAACTGTATTGTGGTTCTTTGCTGTTAAAAATAGACTTCAGTAATGTCAGCTGTGGACAGTCTCACATCTAGATCCTGGGAAGCATGCTGAGACTTGACTGTGTATGAGTATGGAGTACATTGGGTGGGGTTTCTTTTGTGCTTTTTTCTTGGCATCAAGGTTATATTCTAAAAATAGAGTAAGCAGCTCTGTACAGGTTGTGATAGCACAAAATTTCCTTTATTGGATTTAGTGGTCATATTCAACAGGGCTGAGAGCCAAACGTATCTTCATGGGTACCTGGTCTTTTGTGGAAAAACAATAATTTAGCACACAGTGGATTGCATGTTTCAGATTGACAATAATTGATTTACTTAAAAATGAGGAAAATATGTTGTAACATTCTCCTCTTCCTCCTCCTCTTTCTCTCTCTCTCAACACACACACACACACACGCGCGCGCACACACACACACACACACACACACACACACACAATATCTAATGAAATTTTCTGCTCCTCCCAGTCCCCATCACACATAACAAGTGGAACCATGTAGTATAGGGGTGGGGAATCCTCAACGCAAGGGCCACCTGTGGGCCTCAAATCATGCATTTTGGGAGTTCTGTTTACTTTTGGTTTTATTCCTGCTCACTGCTGCAATATGGATCTTAACAATGTCTCAACCAAAGTAATGACAAGAAAAATGCACTTCACTCCTGCACTGTTCATTCTAAAGTGAATTGTTTGTATATGTATACACCACTTGTTTACTTGACATTAAATGACTGGTAGCTGGGTGTGTGACCAGACATTGTTGCAAAGCATTCCATTTAAAGTCATATGAGATCATGTCTTTGGTGTTAGGTGTGCTATGAACTGCTCACATATGTAATCATCACTTGGTGCTTCAGTTCTCAAATGAATATATTTACAATGTGAAGATTTAAAATGAGAAAGGAGGAGATACCAGACTTTCCCCTTAACCATTTGCTTACATGAATATTAACATGAGGAGTGTTGGGAAATGAAAGAAACTGTTATTCTTGGCATGCTTTCCAAGGTTGGGCAGAATTGGACTCATCAGGCAAAGATGGGCCCTTTGAACCAAACATCTCAGATGTTGAAATGGAAGAAGTGAAGGGCACCCTTCCCACATGTTCAGGAGGACATTCAGAATGGTCAGGATTTACAGCTTGAGGAAGGGCATGTGGAACAACTACTACAGCCAGCTGGGCATGGTACAACTCTTGACCCCATGATGCAAAATTGGGAAAGAAAGGCCAATCAACTACAGACAGAGAAGGGGCTTGCCTGTGTTTGTTTGTTTGTTTAACACATTTCTATGCTACCCAATTGTGCCACAGCACCTCTGGGCAGCTCACAGTCACAAGATAAAACACAATAAAAGCACAATAAAAACTAACCACTACATTTTAAAATACAGTATCAATAAAATACGGACAAAAATGCAAAACAGAAGACCGAGTGGCATTAACTGTTAGAGTGGTGTTTTTTGTTTTTTTTTAAAGGAAGGTCTTTGCCTGGTGCCAGAAAGAATATAAAGAAAGGTGCCAGGCGAATCTCCTTGAGGAGAGCATTCCAAATATGGGGAGCAGCTGCAGAAAAGGCCCTCCTCCTAGCAGCCCCCCTTCTCACCTCCCTAAGGGATGGCTCATGCTGGAGGGCCCCTTGCATCGATCTTAAATGCCAGGTAGGCATGCATGGGTGCAGGCGCTCCTTAAGATAACCAGGGCCTAAGGTGCTTCTGGCTTTATATGTCAACACAAGCACCTTGAATTGGGGCCAGTCCACAATTGGTAACCAATGAAGTTCTTTCAGTATAGCTATTATGTGGGCTACTCTAGGGGCTCCCATCACCAACCAAGCAGCCCTGTTCTGTAGCAATTGTAATTGCCAGACCATCTTCAAGCACAGCCCCACGCTGAGCACATTGTACTACACTGTTTTGGATGTTACGAGTGCATGGGTGAATGTTTTCAGGCTCTGACTGTTTCTGTCTCCACAAGATACCTCAGAAGAAGCAGCCCTAGGGTACTGTTGGGGAATTCAGATAAATCCTTATAGAAAAAGGTTGTTTATATGTGCCTTTGTGTTATAAAATCAAATCTGTGTCCCTTTCTCAGAAAGGAGCAGAATTCCAAGCCAGGTACTGTTTAGCTTACTGTTTAGCATTGCTTTTTCTTTAAGATACTGAAACTCTTAGTTTGCCTGAGAGCAGCTATTCTTGTGCTAACAGCAGCAAAACTAATAAGGCAGTCAGAGAAGGTTTTTTTTTTTTTTAGCAGCATTGCAATCACCCTAATTTGCATGATCGAACTCTCAGCTAAGTGTTACAATAATCCTTGCCTTCCTGAATCATTAAGTCAATCTCTTGTAATCAGCGCTATTGTATTAAGTCTCCTCTGCAGCTCTTTCACATACTTTTTCACTGTGTTCTCCTTACTTCGGCATCACCTGCCCTGCTTGTACATGTGACTCAGAAACTATAAAATTCTCTGTGTATGCTCTAAAAGCTTGTAGTTGGCTGTGAGGACCACTACCCGGTAGCATGCTGCTGTAAGTAAACAGGGGTCCTGAGTGATCTAACCAATAAAAACACTGCAGTTGGAGGCGATTCAGTCTTGCCTATGGGTCCAAGTGTTCATTCCTGCCATTGGTAAGGAGACTCTGACTCAAAAGGACAGGGGTCCTCAAACTTTTTGAACGGGGAGCCAGATGAAAGGCTGCGGTGACCGGCAGGCTGGTGAGGTGCTGCTGGGTGCGCATGAGGAGGCATCGGGCACATCTCCGAGCGAGCAAGTCACCACCTGCCCGCCTGCGCTGCGAGGCAGAGACAAGCGTATGTGTACAGGAGGCAGGCGGCAGCTTGCTCGCTTGGGGACCATCTCCAAGTGAGCGAACGAGCCACCACCTCCCCGCCTGTGCAGCAAGCGCGCGTGTGGGCGGCAAACAGCGGCACGGGCCAGATGGACGGCCATGGCAGGCTGGAGCCAGCCCACGAACCATAGTTTGAGGACCCATGCAAAAGGAGGTTGCTCCAAAGTAATTGTTAGATTGAGTTCAACAAACCACTCTGTGTTTGCTGGAAGTGCACTGGAGAATAAAGAGCTTTTGCTAAAGAATAGTCTGTTGTTCTGGAGAAGGAGAAAGCCTAGTTTGCTACATGTAGTGTGCACGAGGATCTCTTCATGTGATCAATTTGTATTTTCCTATCAATTCTCTCTGTAGCTGAGCAAAACAAACATGGGCTGACTAGCTACCAAAGTTCCTAGAAACTGCATCACTCAGCTAGGACTATGCGAAGCTGCTCTTTGCCAACAAGTGCTTTGCATTACAGCACAAGTGATTGATTGATTGATTGATTGATTTAAAACATTTCTATGCTGCCCCCATCGCAACAAAGCCTCGGGGCAGCTCACAAAGAATACATAAAAACAAACATAAATAATAGTAATATAACAATTTAAAAGAAAAAAAAACATTAAAAAACCCCCGGTGCATTCTCAGCTAATTTTAAAATCCTAATTAATTCAATAATTTAGCAATTAAAATAAGTTTTAAATAAAAAGGTCTTAGCCTGGTGCCAAAAAACAAATAACGACGGCGCCAGGCGGACCCCTCTGGGGCGCGCATTCCATAGGTGGGGCGCCACCGCAGAGAAAGCCGTCCTCTGGGTACTCACCCTCCTAATATCATTCACAGAGGGTTCCTGGAGAAGGGCATCCGTTGCTGATCTCAAGGGGCGGGAGGGCATATATGGGCGCAGGCCTTGCTTTAGATATCCAGGTCCCAAGCCATTTAGGGCTTTATAGATGCTTGTGGAACCCCTGAGACTTGAGAATCTTTGAGAGAGGTCTGAATTCTGTTGATTGCAAAGTTGGCACCCTCTCCCCACCCCCTTTGTTCACTTTAACTCAGCATTTGAAAACAGCTATGAATTCCCTGTAAAAACTATTAAAGTTTTTTTTCTCTCCTGAAATGAATGCTTGGTTTGACCAGACACTACCAGCAGTTGGCTGGCCTTGTGCAGAACCCATTTCATTTTATTAAAACTGCTTGATTTGAATGTAATTGGGAGCTAAGCTGAATGTTGATTGGATTTGTCAGTTTGATTAATAGGCAATTGTGTTTAGAATATTTTTGAGTCTTGCAGCATGCCTAGATCCACTTCTAACTCCCTTCTTTTAATTCCAGTTAACATGTTTGTTTGTTTTGTCTTGCAGAGCAAAGAGGTTGGCCAACAGCTCCAGGAAGACTTGATGAAGGTCCTGAATGAGCTCTACACGGTAAATCAAGTTGCTTTCTTGGCCCTTTTTCAGGAAGGAGAGAAATGTTTGACTTTCCTCCGACTGCTGCAATAGCAGCAATCAAGCTTTGGGAGTGATGAATGGCTACAAGGAGTGTGTATTTTCAGTTATATACTGTCAGTATCATTTTTCCTCCATTTTAATTCTCCAGCTGCATCTCTATTGCCTTTCTTTCTGTTGTCTGATAACCTTCTACATTAGCTATGAATAGTTTTGAAATACATCATTGGTGCTGCATTGTGCAATAGCAACAACTCTGAGATCAAATTTGGCTGCAAGCAGACCATACGCAGTTGGTCCCATTTGTTCCACATGTAAGGAACGCACTCCTCATAAACTTTATGATGCAATAAATTTCCTCTAAACGTTGATTTATAGTAGGTGTTTGTATACCTTTTTTTAAAGATTTGGCTGGGTGGCAGCAGGTTAAGATTGCTAATTATATTATAGTATTAATGTTTCAGCATCCCAGTATGTTTTACCAGCTACAGCTCTGTATCTGGCACCCAGTGTGGAATGCTGCTTGTTAGATCATTACAAGTACTCTTTGTGTGTACATACGCACACTACTGCACACTCAGTACAACACATTGTCCTACATCTTAGATCAGTGTTAAAGTTGGCAAAGTTACTTTAAAAGTATTTTCCTAAAACAGTCCCTTGTTTCTGTTTTGATCTTTATATATTGTGGGTGTGTTCTTTGTAAGCTTTTCATTTACATAATTTCCTAGAAACACAGGGCCACTTCAGCTAGACTTGTCATCCACAGATTTAAATTTCAAAAAGGTAGTCCTCTTATCACCCTAGCCCCACTACTAATGAAAATCAAATAAACATATTTTTTCTGATACCATAAGTATGTTCCTCACCTTCCATATATTCCATTAATTCTATCACTGATCCTTTCCCAACATCCTCCTGTTTTTATGAATAAATGCTATCAGAATTGAACTTTGGAGCCTAAACCATAGCTAAAGAGGGAAGAGCCCAAAAGACTCTATCTGAAAGGCCTGATCTCCTTCGCCCCTATATGTAAATGGATGCACTTGTCTATCTGCACTACATCATAGGCTCTTATTTTCTTGAAGGAGCCAGTGCCCTCAGTTCTGTGTTGAAAGGGATATTTGGCAGACCCATTTTTTAAAACCTTGCATCTTCTAAAGCAATTTCAAGATATTCTCAGCTTTGATGGGATGCCTAATTAAAATTTGGCACATTCTGATGGTTTTTGAGGCTTTCTCTGTGCAGTCAGCTGTGTTGTGCAGGAAAGCCCTGTTCTTGCTCACAGGCAAACCCTTACTATTGGTCCTCGGCAGCTGCAGATTTGCTAGTGGAGAGGCATGTCGAGGAATGCAAGCCTGCAAACAACAGCAATGCTTTTCTGTCCCTTCATTGGTTCTGTGAGATGGTTCCCTTGCCGAATAACATTAGCCATATTGTCACGTGTTCATTTGTCTATACATCAACTAGTGTCATTCATGCCGTCATCTTTCAGCATCTTCTATTGGTTACTTAGGCAACTTACCCCTCTCATATGGTTTAAGTGAGTTTACGGCTAAGGAAAAGTTGGAGCCAGGATTTTGCATCACGTCTTTCATTATTCTACTAGCTTCCAATTCTTACATTATGTCTTACCGTTCAGCAATGTAGGTAGCAAGAGCACCAAAGAAGACAACAGAGAAGTTCCCATGGAGCTCTGGGGTACCTTTGCCTAGCTGAATGGGCTGTGATTGGTGTTGATTAAATCTATTTGCCCAGCAACCATGACCAAATAGTTTCTATTTTAGAAATGGAGTCCTGTAAATCTTTTCTTGGGGGACTATATCTCAGAATGCTATTCTGCTCTTGGATTTTGCCTAGTCAACAAGGATTGTTGCACTGCCAAAGTCTTTTCTCTCCATTCTCTGTGAAGAATTTCTTCAAAGATGCTCTTGGGACCAGAGCATATTCGCCCCGGCATGGAGTGGAGGTTATTAATCACTACTGTCTAGGCACAGAGCGATCTTGCGGAACAGATATGAATCAGCAAGTTTCACAGGGATAGATGTTATGCCTTATTATAGCCAAGTCTATGGAATCGGCTTTTAAAACTTCAGCATTTACTGTCCGGTGTGGTACAGTGCAATTTTTAGTACTTAACTCAATTTCAGCTACAGATGTTTAGCATTTTCAACACTAGGCTGGTGTGGCAACATAGCGGTGATGCTGTGCAGGAGACTGGAGGGCGCGTCCTGCTTGTGGTTTTTATCTTGCTTCCTGGAAAAAGGCAATAGTTAGTCTTACTAAATCCACAAGCATGTTCCTGTAGGAAAGAGAGCATACGTTGTTTTTCTTCAATGCTATTGGGTCACTGTAATTGCTAAGCAGCAGTGGGATGATTATGAGGATTTTAAGAGGAGTGATATTTTCAAATGTGGATAGTGGCTGCTAAGTATCTATTTGCTGAGTATAATATTTCACACTCTTTGGAGTAAGAGTAACTGAGACTTATGAACCTTTTAGGAAGAACTGCACTGGAAATTGAAAGTAGCCCTAAATGTACTATATCAAAAGTCTTAGATCTCATGCAGGAATATTCCTTGTCTCAGCATTTCCCCTCCTCATATAGCATATGTGAGTGCAGGTATTCATCCCAGTGAAATAGTAGCTATGCTTTCAATCATGATGAAACCTGCTAAATTTCATTTTCTCTGCATTGCATGCTTATAAAACACCCTAATTTAATTGAGGATCCTCCTTACCGGAAAAGGTGCACGTGCTCCTCTTAAAGCAAGGGTGAGCAACCTCTGTGTGCCAGGAGGGTACATGCCTCCTCAGCTGCAGAAGTGCAGCTGCTACATTTGCCACAGTAACATTTGCAGGGGGCTTTGTTTATAAGCAGCACGTGGGAGCCATGTAAGACTGCATGCCTTGTTTACAAGCAGAATTGCACCCCTGGGAGCATTTCAGAAGCCTGATTCTGCTTCCAAAAAAGGATCTTTTTCTTTCAAAGCCACAGTTTGTGTTTTTTACCATAACTTTAATAAGGTTATCAAACAAATAATAATTCATCTTAGGCTGTATTCTGGCAGTTTTCTGTACATAAGGATTGAGGAATGTGTGATCCTCCTACTGTTGGATGAAAGTTCCCATTATCCTTTACCACTGGCCATTCTAGTTGGCATTATGGGAGTTGTAGTCCAACAATAGCTGAAGGGCCACACGTTCTCTACTCCTTATGTATGTCATTTATTCACTTTTGAAATGCCTTCAAGTTTCAGAGCAATTAGTAATGTGATGTCTGGGAACTTAAGTTCCAAAGGAGAGAACAGGCCATTGAGCTAATGTTGTACAATTCTCTTGCTCATGTCCAATATTTCAATACCAGGGTCTGACAAATAGAAGAGCAAAATATAATAATTTTTGTGATGCACAATAATTTAACTTTGCACAGCTTTTCTAGTATCTCAAAATTATGCCAATGGCAGCTTGTGCAAAGTAGAATATCACATTGTAATTGACTGTGTGTCTTTTTGTAACTTAATTTGTTCAGGAAGTTCCCAATAATTATTCAGCCAAGTTTTTTTATTGTCACTATTTTTAAAGTATTGCACTTCTTTCCAAAATAGTATTGACATTGTGGAGTTTCAAATATAGCAGAACTAAGATATCTTTTCCATAAAGTCAAGGCAGGGATTAAACAATTGTTCTTAAAAATCGGTGATATAATTGCATCATTGTTTAAGGGAAAGAAACTTGCTTTGCTGCCCTTTTTCTATGAGAGATAGTAGAGTTGTTGCTAGTAGAAAAACAATGAGATGTCAACGTAAGAAGAATATCTATGAACTGGACCTGGATCTATCCAAAACAGGGCTATGCCTACCTTCTAAACTAGTAGAACATTGTCTTTCCAGGTCAACTACTTAACTTGAACCACAACCTGAATCATGAGACAGCTTATTTTTCTCCTCCTCTCTTTGGCTTTCTTCTGCCTCCCTCCTCATACAGCCCTGTCATTTCGTATTGTGCAGTTCACCTGTTTTTGAGTCAGCTGTGGATGTTCTTGCATGTGCTGACAGGCAGCAACTTTACATTTCTTAATCCTCATGGTGGGTGCCCTTTCCCTTTGTAATACAGCTTCTTCTGTGGTGATCAATAGCAAAGAAAAAGGTGGAGGCAACCATCTCTGGCACAGCTCATCTTTACAGTCTGTGACCCACTTTCAGTTCACGACTCAGACATTTGAAGTCTGAAGTACCTTCATCTTGGTTTGTTTTTTAAGCATTTGTTGCTGGTAACCCCCCCGCCCCCAGTAAAATCCTTACATTCTCTAATTGTTACTGGAAATCTAGATAATATAGGTAAAGAGCAATGTATCATGGTTATATGGGAAATGTTAGATGATTCTGTTTTGGAAATGAGCAAATGATCTCAAAAGGAAGTGAATTGATTTGGGCAGACCCACTCCAAGATGGTTTCTACTGGCAATTCTTGTGTTAAACATTTATTTCAGTTATGACCCTGTTATGCTTGAGCAGTCCTCTGGAGCAGTAGGGGTACCTAGTCTTTTTGGCGCTGTGGTCACATGTGATGCTGCCTTGGAAGTTAGTGTTGTACGCACAAGTACACATGCACACATCCCGTTGATCCTGACATCCCTTCTTCAGAACTGCTAGCAGCAGGGAGAGAGTGTTTTGTATGATGGTATCTGGAGGGAGGGGAAGAACAAGCAGGGAAAATCCTGCAATGGTGCAAGGATTCAAACATTCTTATAAGGTATGCAGAAAAGTTCTGGTGTCAGTCCTGCCCTAACCCCTGGTAGGCATAGAATCCAGATCTCTCATGTCAGCACCTGAAGTATTTTTCATTCCCTGTCTGTTCCTCTTTTCAGAACTGGAAGGACTGAAGAGAAAACTATCTGGGCCCCAAAGTCCTTTACTTTCCTCCTGAAAGCTTCAAAGTTTGACATGGTTTCTTGAAAGCTCCACTTGGCAGTGTCGTTTGTTCCCACATGTATCCCTTCCTTCTGATACATGTCAGTGGGCTTTATGAACCTTGGCAATCCTTCAGTTGCATCACTAATTTGTCCTCCAGGGAGACACATACCTGACAAGGCTGCACGTCTTCATGACGTACATGTGCTTCCATCCCACTCAACACGGAGTCCCCCACAACTAACACTCATTTTATTCTTGCAGACCTTGGTATTATTTCATTGCCATCACATCAATGACCTTTAGTCTTTTGCTCAGTGTTGCACAGGATGACTTGATAGTCCTTTCACTGCAGGCTGCCCTCTAAGTCCCATGCTTGAGTAACTTCTTGTTGCCAACCTCCTTATTTCCTGAGGAGGAGGCTCCTTCTGAAGGGCATCAGATGTGCCAGGCAGGTTCTACTCCGTCCATAAGCTATTCAGGGCTTCAAACACTAGTGTTAACACCTTGAATTGGGCCCAGACCTCAACTGTGAGCCAGTGGAGATGGTAGAGGACTGGCTTTATATGATCATATCTTCCAGTCCTCATTAACAATCTGGCTGCCCTATTTTGGACCAATTGAAATTTCCAGACCATCTTCAAGGGGAGCCCCACACAGAGCGCATTGCAATAATCCAGGTGAGAGGTTAGTTGTCAGATCCTGTCTGTCCAGATACAACCACAGCTGATATATCAGCTTAAGCTGATAGACAGTGCTCCTGGCCACCAAATCAACCTGGAATTCCAGGGATAATTCAGGGTCTAGGAGTACACCCAACCTGTGAACCCTGTCCTTTATGGGGAGTGCAACCCCATCTGAACAGATGCCCACCCCACCAGTTTATTAGCCATTATTGAGGCCAGGTCTCAATTCAGAACATCTACTGCCACACCTGCATCCAATGAAAAATGTAGAACTGAGTGTCATCAGCATGACAACTCAGCCCACACCATCTGATGATCTCACCCAGCGGTTTCATGTAAATGTTAAAGAGTATGGGGGATAAAATTGAGCCCTGCAGAACTCCATGACATAAATGCTATGGCACAGAGCAATAATCCCCCAGCACCACCTTCTGGACACAGCCAACCAAGTAGAAGCAGAACTGCTGCAAAGCAGTGCCTCCTACTCTCCAACTTAACTAACCTGTCCAGAAGGATACCATGTTGATAGTATGGAAAGCCGCTGAGAGGTCCAGGAGAACCAACAGGTCATACTTCCCCATCTCTCTCCCAGCATAAGTCATCCCACAGGGCAACCCATGCAGTTTCCATTCTGCATCCAGCCCTGAATCCCAATTGAAATGGATCAAGATGGTCCATTACATCCAAGAACATCTGGAGTTGGCTAGCCACCGCCCTAGTTCTTCTAGTTAGGGACTTCCTCCTTGGCCTCCCCCACTGAACTTAGCCACCAAACTCCTGTTAGCACTTCCTGTTTGCTCACTTTCGAGACGCTTGCTTGGTTGCATCCAATAGCCTGTAGACAGCTGGGGCAGCTGCTTCTGATCTGCTCAGCTAGGAGTCAGAATCTTAGTGATCTCCATTGTGCCAGGTCTCTTTCCGTCAATTGGTGGAGGCACAGGAAGAAAGTACTCCTCTGTCCTCTTACAACTATAATTCTAAATGCTTCCTTTTAATCTGTTTATATATGATAGCTCCAAGTTGGATTTCAATTATTCAGAAACTCTTGCTTTAATACTGCCTGGGCTTGCACTTTAACTGCAGCTTCTTTCTGTAACCAAGAAGCATTGCTTAATCACTACAGGAGGAGAAAAGCATGTATCCCACTTAACAAAAATTATAGTCAAGTTCAAACTGAGGTGAAGCAAGACTCAGTGGCAGTGTGCCTGAAAACTGAATGGACTAGAAGCAGGAGTTTGGCTTGTGTCAGGGTTTCATGACTGGGGCAGAGATCTGCTCTCCGCAGCAAGTGTATGCAAGCCAGTTAGTACTTGAACATCTAAACTACTTCTTGGGGGCCTAGGACAAGAGTATTTTTGAACCTCAAAAGCTTCTTAAAAATGTCTAGTTCACATGTTGGTATAAAGTTGTCTTGATACAATTTGTGGAAAGGCCAAGCAAAATGATTTTCAGTTAATTTTAATGTATGTTATTGGTGTATGATGATAGAGGTCCAAAGTGAATTCTGCCCTTATTAAAAATCTTCAATCTCTGGCATATTTGGCTTCTCCTAAATAAAAAGCTACCAGATGTAAGTAAGGAGTAAAAGCAAAACAAATGATTCTCTTGTCTTCAGCATGTGGCCAAGGAGGTCACAAAGAAAAAAAGTAGCAGTTGGTGTTCTTTCAGAAAATGACACTGGAGAGAACATCTTTTGTGGGGAGGGGGCATCTAAGGAAACAAAAGGTTATCTTCAAAAAGCAAAACTACAGAAGGTTGCCAGTCCAAAGGATCCTGCAAGTGGCATACTGCAACTTGTACCACCTAGATCAGATAGATTTAGCATTCTGTCAGTGGGATGGAATCATGAAGGAATGGGTGTTTTCTGAATGACTTTTCACCTCACTAATAATAAAAAAGAAAAGCCATGCCTCCTGTTGAACTGGAAAAAAGATTAATAATATTTACTGAACATTTTTGTCCTAATCCAAATATATTCTTTTCATCAACTTAGTTCCAGTGTTGATTGCCTCTTCAGATTGCATCTAGAAGTAAAATATGCATACATATCTTGCTTATATTCCCACCTTGCTATTTTCTTCAAGCCTTTTATAATTTTGAGCTAATAGGCTGTTTCACATTACACACAAGTTAAACTTGTTTCACATGTTCTGGAATCTGCATAAGCAATGATCCTTTGAAGTCTGCAGTTCCACAAATCAGATAAAATAGTATGTTTATGGACTAGCGGAGCTAGTTGGTATTAAGAGGTGTAAAGCATTGCATTAGTTATGTAGCTTGCATGTTTGCTGTTGTGAGCAAAATCCTTTTCATCTGGGCAAATAATGAGGTCGTGCTTGACTTCTGTTGATTGCCTTTTGTAGGTGATGAAGACCTACCACATGTACAATGCTGACAGCATCAGTGCTCAGAGCAAGCTGAAAGAGGCAGAGAAGCAGGAAGAAAAGCAAATTGGCAAATCTGTAAAGCAAGAGGATAAGCAAACCCCACGGTCCCCTGATTCAGCCTCCAGTGTCAAGTTTGAAGAAAAACACGTCCGTCGGAGTTCAGTCAAAAAGATTGAGAAAATGAAAGAGAAGGTGTGTGAGCAGCATGGTGGGATTAAGTCCTGGGTAATTGCAAAGCTCTCTTCCTTCAAAGCGGATGCTGAGGTGTTCTTCATGGATCTAACACATAGTGCAAATACCTATGTGGACTATCAAGTAATAGGTAAACTATAGATCTAAGTGACTCAGGACCGACCTGGATTTCAGAGCTTCCATTTGCAGTCCTTACTTACCATTGAATCTATTTTCCATTAAAAGGGGTTGAGTAGGAGAATGGAGAAACCAAATACAGTGAAAAGAATGGCCTCTCAAGGGTTTCTACTGGCATCACACTCGCTTTTCCTTATCCCTTGTAAACCAGTAGAGCAGTGGTTTTGTTCTGTAAACTGGCTCTGATGCATCAAATGTAGTATGCCAGCTTAGAATTAAACACTTTGATGCTACGATCTACATAACTTGTTCAGGTAAAAGAAAAACAGGTTCAAGAATGTAGACATGGCTCTGGATTTTCTTTGAATATGAAGGATAGATGGAAAGTCACTTCCCATTAATGAAAAAGTAGAATGCACAGGGTTGTATCCAGTTTAATACTACATTGAAATAAAGGGGACATGTTAGACTGAATACAATGCATTGGATGCAACCTTTAGTAGCTTACATTTGTCCTTTAGTTGGTTGATTGAAAAGTGATGTTTTTATGTTAGGAAGGGATTTTCTTCCAACTGGCATCTTGCTGGCTGACTTGAGACTGAAAATTTGTGCATGGCTCCTTGGTACCTGTTGCTTATGTCATTATTTGGTGCCAGTTCCTGAGCCAGGTAGCACTTTGTAGGGATTTTCAACAAGCAAGCAGACTTATATGACTAGGCAGGTTGAATTTGTACTGTTGTTATGGACTGTCATTTGCTATCCCTGGGCTAGATTATCTTGCCTAAATGTATTGAAGATCTCAGAGAGCACGGGCTGAAGGAGGAAGAATGTAAGGATGAAGTAACAGAATAATTACCTTGACCATGCTGTGTGTTTGTTCCTTACGACACATCCTTTATTTATCCTTTTCTTCTTCATTCTTAATAAACTCCTTTTTTTTCTTTGTTCTGTTTCCAGCGCCAAGCAAAATACACAGAAAATAAACTGAAAGCTATTAAGGCAAGAAATGAATATCTGTTGGCTCTGGAGGCCACCAATGCGTCTGTGTTCAAGTATTATATCCATGACCTGTCTGATCTCATTGATGTAAGTGTACCATTTTTTGGGTGCCTCTATTGAATGTGGCTGCTACAAACCTCATTATGTCTTTCTCCTGCATTAACCTCTTACAGTGACAAATACATGGAGGATGCTGGTTGCTCTTCTGCCTGTGTCCTACATGTGTCTCATGCTGGACAAAATTGTATATGAGCACTGAACTGGTCGACTGGGGTCCAAACATTTGGGCTAGCTTCCCTAGTCAAGCCAAAATTTGTGGTTTCCAGATAGTGTTCTTCCTCCTGTGCAATCAGTGCTTATTTTTACCTCAGTATCCTATGCATGAATTGAAGAGCAATCCCATGCACACTCAGAGGTGAGTTTGGTCTCTGTCCTCATATTACACCTCTATTCAGAATAAGGTACAAATATAAAACTTGTTTTGGTGCCAGGCAGCTGAACCATCCAAAGTGTCTCTATAACCAGGCATGCATCCTTAGCCATTCCTTTCAGAGCTAGAGAAAGAGGTTTGGCTTGTTTGCGCCTAAATGATAAAGATTCTCTGAATGCTTTGAATACCAAAATAGCAAATTTCATCTCTCCCATTCAACTTTACTTGAATATTTTCATAGTTCAGGGGCAACTGCTGGGGATGGTTCCTGCCCACTCACCAGCTCTAACCTGGAGGGAAGAGTGGAGCTTCTTGCTGCCCTTGCCAAGTGGTGGAAGACTTGCCACAGCAATGGTGTTAAACAGAAATGTGGACCACAGTGACAAAGTTAACTTTTTGGGGGAGAAATCAAAGGCTTTTATGTTTCTGTGTTTTTAGAACTTGATTAACTAAAACATTGGCTTCTGCTTCATGGCTACCTTACTCCATCCAGCAGGACTGATGCATTGACTGTATTGAGCTGCTTCCTGGGGCAGAATCTGTGATTGCAGCTGGATTCTGCTGTTCTCTGTTTCTTGATGACAGCTGTAATAGCTTCTGTAATCAAGGTTAAAAATAGTCATTGGGGAGCCCTGAGGGTAATTGGCTAAGGGAGAAGAAAACAAGGGTCCTCCAAACAAGCAAATACATCCCTCTTCTTTACTTGTTCTGCATTGTTGGTTATTCAGCCAGTCATAAAATCAAACAGGTCATGCTCACTTCTGCATAGTTCAGGTGTTTATTGGAGTCCGTTTTGCTCTAAATTGCCAACATATTAATACTAGAAAACCTGTCAATTCTTGCAAGTAGCTTTGCTATTACAGTATAAAATGATGCTGTATTGATACCTTGTATTTTCTGTTGCTCTTTTGCTTTTATACCTTAGCATCTGATTCATTTCAAAGGTATTGCAAATAACATTTAAAGAAAAATATGGTCTGTGTTTGCCTTAAACATCCATGAGATTTGGACAGCTTCTTTCATCTGAGTCATTCTAGAGGACATCCCAAACTGTTGGATTATCAGATGAATGTTAATGAATGATGAATTGTCTTAAAGTGACATGGAATTGAATTAGATCCATGCAGTGAATGATTTGTGTAACTAAGACTAGGTCTACGTGTTAAGAGACCTAGTAAGACATAAGGTGGAATACTCCTGGCACTCTTATCAAATGGTCTCCGACATGATACATCACATGTGCCTAAATGACACAGAAAGTGAACAAATCCTTAACTCTACGTTCAATGCAGAAAGTTCATCAGAAGTTGAGATAAGCACCAGTTTACAGAAAAGCTCTTCTCTCCATGTCTCTTAAATCTGCTTTGCTGGATCAGCTGCCTCGGTGTATATAGTTGCCAGGCCAAAAGCATTAGTTTTTTAACAGTACAATAGTGTCTTCTGTTCCTAAGTTTTTAAGAGAGCCATGTAACACGAGTGGACTTTATTTTCCTAGGTCCCTAGATTGTTACAATCTTGAACTATATAAAGGAGTCATCTTTTAGGTGCAATCCTAGCCATACCGTCTAGTAAATTCCATTGAATCCTAAGGGGCTGGTGTCTGAAAAAACATTCTTGGGATGTGCTACACTTTGTAAAAAGATTTGGAAAAAGTACAGGCACTTTTCATAGGCAAAGTCATGGAACACTAACTCTGACATAATGTTTGATCATCCAGTGATTGCTCAATGTGAATAGTGATTCTTAAGACGTGATGGAGTTGAGGTGAATCAAGCCATGACTGGAATGCTGGCCACAGAAACATAGACAGTCCGTTGGTCCATCTAGTTCAGTATTGCTAAAACTGACTGGCAGCTGTTCCCTAAGATTTCAGAGAGGGGTCTACCTAGAGATGCTGGGACCTGTACCCAATCTGGGTGCGAAGTGTGCACGGTACCACTGAACTGGAACCCTTGAAGTCTGATCTCAAGGTGACTCACTTGACCACACTTTTCCATGCTGTTACTCTTGTTACAGAAGCTATCCACTCAAAATGAAAAAGAAATAAATTACAAAAGCCCACTCCTACCAGAGAAAGACACTTTTTTAAAGCACTGCATATTGGATTCATTGTTAATAGGAACAATGGGATGTATTCATGTAATCATTCGATTGAAACATCCCCTGGTGGCTTTGAATTTGCTGAAATTCTTTGGACTGATGTTAATCCCTTCTGTTAAATAAATACTGCAGTAATGGAAAAATGGGTATGAGTAACTGGCAGGTGTGTTGAGGGGAACAGTGGTGATGGCTCAGCAGTAGAGCCCACTTGCCAAATAGCTAATAAAGCTTGTGTCACAAGCCTCTCTCGAAGTAGGCAAAGAACTGCTAAGAAGGATTCTTGCTCTGTATAGACAACCTAAGGCAGGAAAAGAGATTTGTGTGGTTTTATCAAATTTGTGTTTAACTTTGAGAATAAAGAAATTCCTATAAAAGGTGCATTTCTAAAGGGAAAAGAATCCTTTATCCTCTGTGTTGGAAGTAAAACAGTAAATGAGATTGTGAAATATGTGCAGAAGTGGCTTTTGAGCCAATGACCAGGGATTAGCAGCAATTGCTAGTGCAATTTTAGGTTTTTTAATCATACATCTCCCCATACATTTACAAGCACATACATATCTCTTGCAAGCACGCTGGAGTCACACCCTACTGTATTCACCACTATCTTTACCCACTCAGCCAATCCTCCTCGCCCAGTGCCACCTCTAAGCCAGGCAGGGCATAGTCAAACATGGCGGGTATTACTTTTTCAAGGATCCTGGTTTCAGGCTGAATACTTTTTTAAAAATCGCATTGTAATTGGAGAAGCAGGGGCCAGAGCTGTGTCAACAAGATGGATATTAACCATTGCATCCATGCTAGCATGAATAAGAGCATTTTCATTTGCAGCATGTGATTCATCAACTGGCGACTGAGTAATCTGAATGTTATTAGGATGTAATATGCCTTTGATTATCTGAAAAGGCTCCTTGGGATAACTGGGTGCAGATGCAAAAAGATTATGGTGAAATTATATTTCAGGGTTTGGGTCAGGGTTCCTTCCTGCCAGGGATTAAATCGGGGAGCTTTTGTATGCCAAACACATGCTCTACCACTGAGCAACAGCCTCTTCGTTCTTAACTGTTCTCCCATCCCCACAGCGTCTCCTGAATCTTTGTAGTTCTAACCCCAACAGAGGATGATTTGTGCATAATAGGTTTTTTTCTCCCACAGCCAAATCACCATTATCCCATCTGTGGTTGCATTTTTTAAATCTTTGTCAAGCGTTCTTTTTTGGCAGGTTGCCCGGGGTGGGAGGTATTCACCTGCAAAGAGCAAGTGAACCTGTAGAGTAGACCAGTAGACAATAAAATTCACTTATTTGTTCCTGGAACTTATGTGTTTTAGCTGTGACCATAGCTCTATGTATATTCACACTGATCAGGTTAGCGTGCCACAAAAGACCTCCCTGGACTAATTTACCCATGGGGTCTGTCGCATTGTGCGAGGCATCATTTTTGCATGGTGGCCAGTTTTCTTTCCACATTGTATGAACCCAGGCAGCATGGTTTGTTTGAGGTTTAGATAACCCTTAATTGACCAATGGACTGTTTTAGGGTTCTTTGAGCCTCAGGTAGCTTCTCCTGCTGAGGTTTGCACCATGCAACCAACCAGAGCAACTCAGGCATCTGTGGGGCCTATGCCAAAATGATGTCCACAGGCACCCAACATGATGTGACAACTCCCATGGGTAAATTAAACTACAGCAGGCTGTTGTGATGTGCAAACAGGCTCATTATGTCTCCCACCTTTGAAAGTATTCCTTATAACGGATAGCTAAGGAGTATTCATTTTGAACTTTGAAATGCAGAGTATTTTCTTGCCCTGTATCCTTCCAGGTTTCTGTTTAAAGTTGTTTAGCTGGTGAAGGGTTAATCAGCTGTCATGCTGAGAAATGAATTTGGATGAGCTATCATTAAATTCTTATCAAAAATTGATTTCCTTAGAGAACATTTCCATCAAACATTTATATAACCCAGAAAAAGGCCGGTGAGACTGAGATACTTATAAATGTGATATTTTGGACATTTATAAAATGTTAGGGATGGGGAAGGAGTGCTGAAAAAGTGTTTTCTGCCAACAGTTACTATAAAGATGGAAAATACTGCTGTCTTAATTTAATCTTCCTGCTTTCTTATGGAGAGGGCTGATAAAATATTAATGACTATTTCGCTCTGCAGTTCCATGAATGGAGATAAACAAGACTTGCAGACAAACATACATGCGCTCGCGCGCTCTCTCTCTCTCTCTCTCTCTCTCTCTCTTTCTCTCTCTCTCTCTCTCACGCACATGCACACGCACACGCACACCCCTTCCTCAGTCTGTCTGTATGAGATGAATCCAAGAGCTTGGAACATGTTTTTTTCAAATAGGCAACTGCCTCCAAGAGGGAGCCATCCATAAGGCTTGGGAGTTCAGTAGAATAAACTTCATGTTAACACTGATACTAGTTTCCCCTAAATTTCAGTTAAACTCTCCCATAATTAGGCATTAATTCTTACTGAAGCTGGTTTCTGTCCAACCATATTGTGCAGATCACAGAATTTCAATGCGGCGGCTGCAATGGCTTGAATGGCTGTTTACTTGTGGGAATATTTTCTGAATGTGCAAATTGCCAATCAAGCAGCTTTTTTGTGTGTTGGTCTCTGTGCTTCTTGATTGAATTTAATGTTTTCATTGTCTGCTTCCAATGAAGTCAATGGCTGCTTCTGCTTCATAGGAACTCCACATCTGCCACAGCCTTTTGGCATGGTACCCAGGCATGTTGCAGCAGACAATGACAAGCCTCTCCTTAAAAACAGGGAAGGGAGCCTGCTTTATTTGGCTTTCCATTTCTCTGCCTTTCCACTTCCTTTTGGCCAGCCACCTATTAGAGCTCCATATGATTTTGCAGGCGGTGGCAATTCCATTGATATCAGCTTATGACACAGAGCGTTCACCAAGCACAAGGGCTTTTCTTCCTTTTTGATGGTTTCCTAGCTCATCTTCTCTTATTTATTTATTTATTTTTCGATTTATATGCTGCCTTTTTCCTGCAAAGGGTTCAAGGCAGCTTACATCCTCCTCCTCCTCCATCTTATCCCCACAACAACAACCCTGTGAGGTAGGTTGGGCTGAGAGTCTGTGACTGGCCCAAAGTCACCCAATTGGCTCCATGGCTGAGCGGGGACTCAAACCCGGATTCTCTGAGTCCCAGTCCCATGCTCTTAACCACTACACCACCTTCCCTTCCCTTCCCTTCCTAATTAATTTAAGTGAGCAAGTGAGGAACAATTTTTTACTTTGGTCCACTGATTTCTTTAAAGAAGAAAAAGGACCAAGAATATTTCTGATTTGGTAATTACAGGAGCTTCTTTCCCATAAGTAATATAAGTTGGCTTAGATAGCAGATTTGCTTTCCTTAACAATATGCTAAGATCTAAAGTTCAGCAAATATTTGACTTTGATGTTTCTATGCGAATATTTTCTTCACTTTCTTTCCCCTTATCAGCAAAGTAATCTGACCAAATATTTTACCATTTGTTTGTTCTCTTTAGAGCTTGTTAAGCCTGCCTTTCACAGAGTGTACAACAAACAGTTCACAGTGTGCCAAGGCAACATACAACAAAAGCAAAAAGTAAAAGGTACAGAAGCAAAATAAAGAATAAAAGCAGCAGATAAATAAAAGCAATCCTAACACCAACAGTTAAAACCAGGAGAAGACAAGACTCAAAATATCATAAAGTTCTATTAAAGGCACAGGAGAACAGGATGGACTCCATTTAGCACCTAAGTTAATGATGCTGCCAGGCAAACATGTCCAGGGAGAAACTGGAAAGTTTGGGCATCCTCACAGATAAGATTCCTTCTCTTGTATCCCTACCTAATATAAGATGTTGGGCCCACAGAAGGAAAGTCTTTGAAGTGGATCTTAATCGGCATGCAGATTCATGTAGGAGAAGGAAGTTGCCAACTCCTAGATCATTTTTTACATCAACCAATAATCAGATACAGAAAACCCTCCACAGATGTTGTTTTCACAGTTTAGATTAAACATGGAGAAAGTACTTGCTGGTTACACACCTCATTGGTTCACACTTGCCCTTGCCCTCTGAACTGTATGTTGAACATGATGTCTGTAAAAGTGAGTTCAATAATATTGGATGCATACAGAGTTGTATCCCATATTAATCTAACTTAAGCAGGACTACTGTTCGATACACCTTTCATCTCAATGGGAACCCTGCAGATGTTACAGTTAACATGTGAGCCACCAATGTAAGGGGCTCAATGTTGTTGCTGGGGCATTTAGCGAAGTCCCCTTCCACACATATAATGTGATGCTTGGAAGACAACTTCTTTTATATAAAAAAAGATGACTTCTTTTATATTGTTATTTATTTTATATTGTTAATTTTGTACTGTTATTTTTGTATTTTATTGTATTTTATTTTGTATTGTGAGCCGCCCCGAGGCTTCGGCAAGGGGCGGCATAGAAATGTTTTAATAAATAAATAAATAAAATAAAACTTGTGAGGACTTGGGATACTGTCCTGAGTCTTTGTGGCATTGACATCAAGTGGCGGGACCCTTCTCTAAGAGAGCATAACTAACTGGCAGTCAGGACTGATCACCAGGGAGCTAAGAAGTATGTAGAATGGTACCAGTCAGAAATATACTGTGCTCCTCTTCAGCTTCTGTGAAGTTTCTTGATTTTCAGGTGTCCTTCGTTTCCTTGTTTTTTCAGCAGTGCTGTGACCTAGGATATCATGCCAGCCTTGGCAGGGCACTCAGGACATTCTTGTCAGCAGAGCTGAACCTAGAACAATCGAAGCACGAGGGCCTGGATGCCATTGAGAATGCTGTGGAGAACCTGGATGCCAATAGTGACAAGCAGCGCCTCATGGAGATGTGCAACAGTGTCTTCTGCCCACCCATGAAGTTTGAATTCCAGCCCCACATGGGTGACATGGTTAGTTTTTTCTTCCTTACTCATATCCATCAATGGGAATTAACATTCCAGTCATACTTTGAAGAAATAAATTGTTGTCTTGATTTTATAAGGAGGAGCACATAATTGCCTCCCTGCACTGAATGACTGCATGTTGGTGATCATGGGGCCGCACAGGCTAACCCTGAGTATCTTCATGCGTTGCTCCCGTGCTCTTCTGACAGTGTCCATTCGAAGTTGGTTTGAAAGCTGCTTTCCGCATACAGACTTGTGAACGTTCCTGCTGATGAGGAGGTTCCCTGGCCTGTCTGGGTATGTCCTTGTGGAGGAGTCTTCCATACATACGATGGACGTTGAACAGACCGTGTAGCAAGTGGAGTGTAGCAAAGGTGTGCAGCAATGACAGTGCGATCAGGCCACGACCCTCCATCGCATAGCCTTCCCTTGCATCGAGTCAGTGCATGGACTGGGTTCTGTGTACCCACCACCTGCCATGTTTTTGGCTTCCTGGCTGAAGAATGTCTCAGTTCCACACTTTCCACAGCACATCTCTTAATGAGTGAGATTGGCGAGGGAAGCAATGCCCAGATGTTGAGGTGCTTCTCTTCTATGATCTTCACATTGCTACCTCTTAGAAAAGAAGTGATACATTTGATTCATCCTTTAGGGACAGGAGGATAAAATCTTTGGGAAGTAGTCTATTACATAGAGAGATTTATCTAGACACCATGTCAGATAGTTAAAAGAATTTAACTATTAAGCAAAAAAGCACAGGCATTGTTCACAGTGTATCAGGCTGTGTAGCTGCTATCTGAGGAAATCCCAAAATTGCAAACTTTTCTCCTATGTGGCATTATTTTATTTAGGGTTCTTCTGTTTTTTGCTCTTATTCATTGGTTTTTCTATCTACATTTAGCTATATTCTCTAGTTTCTAGCAGGTTGATTTCCTCCAAAGATGTGTTTGCTATGGACACTCCCAAGCATAAACCCCTGCTGTGGAGGTAGAATGCCCCTGTAACGCAAATGTTGCAGGTTGGTCTGCTTCCTTGTGCACACAGTTGCTTAACAGAATCCTCTCTTCTTGATGATCAAAGATAGAATTGGTATGACCATATTTGGTGACCTTGTGATTCAGTCCCCTCACGGTGTTCTCTGCTGAGGAAATCCTGGGATATGTAAATAAATGCTAATCCAGGACCTCTCGAATACAAAGATCGATAAGCAGTATGTCACATCCCAGCCTGTTCAATTAGTCTCTTGTTTCTCAAGATTTTTTCTCACATCTGCATATCAGATTGTTACTCCATCCCTAATGGCATTAAAAGGCCTTTCCTAGAGAATGCTGTAAGCAGTTATATCACCTGTATAACCAATCACTGGTACCAACATAGAATGGTGAATTCTTGCGTTTCCCCTCCACCTATGAAAGCTTCCTATATTACAAGATCCCTTGTAAGGCTGACATTTATGATTGCTGGATGGTGAGTGGGAAAAAATCCTGAAGTGTGGTATTTTATTGCATATTCTCTGGTATTTATTGCATATTTCTTTTACCCACTATATCTAGTCCCAGTGGTCCAGATACACTAGATGAAGGAAACATCATCACAGATGCTTTGCATTAGTTCTGTTTGCAGTGCTCTGATATGTGGAATTCTCTCTGCTTTTGCACACAGCTGTGATGTATTAAAGTGCATGTTATAAAAGAAGCAAGTGCTTTTAGATCCCATGCAGATCAGTATAATGTCCTTTAAAGGAACTCAATTTCTCTTTTGATTCATGCCGTTATTAAATGTAATTGTCCTCAGAATGGAAGTATTACTTAATTCACTTCCTAGGCTTCTTTCCTGTCTGTCCACAGAGAGAACATAGTTCACACGATATAGTTAAATTGTTGTAATTATCAATCTGTGTTTTTGCACTAAGAAGATAAAATGTCTCGGTGCTACAGACTCACTGGAAGGTCTGGGCTGCACCGTTGTATCCTATTCCTTATAAGTTCTGCTGGCATAATAGATGTGTTATAAAATAATGGATGATCCAAAATGCATCATATAAATGCCCCAAATTATGGAACTGTATTAGTGAATTCTGACAAAGACAATGAAACAGTCATTAGCATTTAGTGTCTCCGTTTTCACCTGATACATGAGGAATTCTCAGCTGTCTTCACATTTGAACAGGCCACAGTAATGAGTACGTGTTTCTTTCATTACATATTCATATTCTCAGGATTAATAATGTACTCCTGTCCTTGTAATAACATGTTCAAGTGGTGGGAAGTTAGGCCAAAGAAAAACAACAAGTATCTATATACTGGCTGATCATCACAGCTGCTTAACCTATCATGCCTATATGAGAACTGGTTTTGTTTCACTGGAAGCAGCAGAATGTAGAGCTGCTTCATACCTGGTGTCTCTGTGTGTCATGAGCTTTTTCATACGTACTCAGCAGTTAATGAAAGTGGTATCAGTATAAGGAGATCCCCAACTATAGATGAAGCTCAGCTTGGTCCTTTGGAAGTATTCTTGCCTTATGTGCCTCTAAATGCTCTTAAATGTGCTGATGCATACCTGTGGCTCTATCTGAGAATCTAATTCCAGTGTAAATCAGAGTTAGGTAAGGAAGTACTTCCACTTCTGCCAGAGTGCCTCCCTGTTGTTTCAGAATATTGAAAATACTATTTCTTGAATCTTATCTGATGCCAGATTTTTTAAAAAACTTTTATATACCATTCAAACAACCACAAGTTCTATGGACAGTGTACAGCAAGAAAAACCACATAAAAACTTTACATAATGTAAATAAACTTGGTATCAAATATGATACCAGCAGTATCCAACCAAATTAAATAGATAACAAACAGCAGTTAATGCATACATAATAAACAGTAAACATCACCAACGTAATAGTTAAGTCTCAGTAGCACTAATGACAATATAAATAAAAACCAGTATAAAATAGTATAATTATATTTAACAATGAAAATACAGGGAAGATAAAAAGGTTTTAGCCTGGCACCAAATTGCGTAAAGAGTCAGAACCAGGCACACCTTTCTGGGAAGCTGCTTGCACGGACGGGGCACCACAACCAAGAGGTCCTTTCCTTCTTTTTTTCAAGCCACAGCTTGAAGTTGTTTTAAAATACTGGTTTGTTCAAAACCTTGTCAGTATAATTTCCAAGTTCACATGAAATAGGAAACTGCAGCTAACTGAAAACTCTGTAGCTTAAACATGCTTCTCACAAAGGGCAACACAAATAGGTTTTGCGGATGTACAAACTTGTTTGTATCTGTCCCTTTGATCATCCAAACCCAGCCTATGTATAAGGAAGGAAATTGACTTTGTCAAACCCTCTCTTTTTTTGTCTGAGTGAAGAAGTTCTTGTCTCATGTGTTTTCTTAAAATGCATTAAAGGATATTATATACTTTTGTAGTACCATTAATCTGGTTGGCAGCTTTCTTTCAAACTGCATCATACATTTGGGCAGATCTTAATGTTCTGTGTAGTCCCATGGTTTGTTTTAGGGACAAGTTTTTCTGTTTGTTTGTTTTTAAACAGCTGCTGTGGTTGCTATTTGAAGGGAGAACCGGATACAAGGAGTGAGGGGTTTTGGTTCCCTTTTTCCCTGGGATGTTTTTGTGCTGAAAGAAAGTGCCTTCTCCTTTTTTCTTCACTGGTGGGAGATAACTTTCACTGGGAAAATAGCCCAAGAGGAAATCCCTCTTCCCACACCAGTCTCCGCCCTCCAACTGCATCTTCAAACATTGCATTTCTTTAAGAAGTCTATTAAAAGAATTGGCCACATGTAGTTACACCCTTTGTTTACCAGATTCTGCATACAAGTTCAGGATAGTAAGATTTCACCATTTATCAATATGGATTTACCTTACAATGGAAGTAAGTTGTTTGCTTTTAATTTAGTGCCTATCAAATTTGTTTTATGATTGTGCATAGTATTTGCAAAATTCATGTATTTCTTTTGTTATTACTTATCCCAGTCTAGTAATTGTTCCATTGTTCAGGGGACCAGCTCACAACCCTGGTGCAGAATTTTAATATAAAGCTGACCAAACCAAAATGCCATTTCTTATGCAGGTCTCCCAGCTGTGTGCCCAGCAGCCAGTTCAGAATGAGTTGGTGCAGAGATGTCAGCAGCTGCAGTCTAGGCTATCTACACTGAAGATTGAAAATGAAGAGGTAAGCTAACAAAAACTCTACAGCTCTCAGCAAATCTGTGGCAATATCTCTCTTTCCCCACTGTTTTTGTTTCAGCTTCCTTCATCATTCTGCTATTTCCATGGTCTAGACGGTAAACTGGGAAGAGGAAGGACAGGTGAAAGTATTATCTTCTGTATCTATACACTTCATTTCAAAGACAAGTTTCTAAGGCCAAACAAATCCCATTAATTTCCTGATGTCAATCACTTCTGGACAGCTACACCCAAATAGAAAAAAAAATAGATACATATTTAGTGTTACTTTTCAATGTCTTGAATTTATTTCACTTTAGACTTTAATATTAATTGAAATGGCGTATTTTCTACATGATGTAATTGAGATCATTTGTGCTTTTAGCAGAGGACCTGAAAGATATGCTGTATATTCTTCAGAACCGCCCTGGTGTTACTGTTTGTATTTGGAATAACAGCTGATTTGTAAAAAAAGAATCAAATATTGGGACTCCTGTGAAGCAGAAATGTACTATTTTATATTGCAAGAAACAAGTCCTTATTCTTTCTTAAGTAGGAGTTGTAATAGGTTACAAACAGGAGGTTTGGGTAGATGTGGCAATGGGGAGTGTACTTGATTCTCAAACATTGAAAAACTGTCTAAAATTCCAGATTGCAATCTGAAAAGGATATTTGTTTAGCTTGTACTTAAAATGACAAAACATGTGGGGAGAGTTTTAGGTTCTTTACTGATAGTTTTGTAACTGTGACCTGGTTTACATGATCAAACATCCCAAAGATAACGTACAGGTTGGCTGTGGGTGTGCTGGTTCCTACCTACTTCTGCTTTCCTAAACACCCCTGGCGTATACCTCATTTGTGCACTGTGATTGGTACATCCAGACGTGGAAAATTCTGGGTTATTTAACATTTAACCCTTTAACAACCCCAAATTAGCCAGTACGTAATACGTGTTGCATATATTACAATAACAATTCTAATACTGTTATTGTAATGTAAAAATATCTCCAGTGTTTGGATCTCCATATCTCCAGAGTAAAAATATCTCCAGAGTAAAACAAGCATTTTCCTCTGTCAGTGGACATCAAATTCCACAATGAGATTCACCCACTCAAGTAATGCATGTAGCAACGGTTAAATTGTATCCTGTGGCAAACCCTAATCTGCTATATTGATGTGCAGAAGAAAAGAAAACCAATGCTTTTCATAGCACCTGGGATGTGCTGTTGAAGGATGAGTTCATCCCAAGTATCAGTGCAAGGTCTCTCTTTACTGGTACTAGGACCCTAGTACTTTATCCTGGGCTCTACTGCTTTCCTTGTCCCCTTTCATTTTAAAAGGCTGCTTGAGTTCCTTGAAGGAACAAAGGTAGGATATAAACATAATGAATAAAAAATAAGGGCTTCAACACAGGTGTGATTTTTAAAATTCCTGCTGTATGGCTGTTCAGTGGCCTATACACGTTTATAAACTGACAGTACAATTCAGGGCCAATGGCTTTTGAATAGCCACATGTTTCCATGTGCCAGGAGAAGAATGCTTGTAAACTTGCTATACCATCCCCACCTTAATTGGCAACATGGTTGAAGCTACACTTGCTAATAAGACATGTAGTTTGATTTGCCATGGTCCTGCATCTTGTGTGGCATTTGGAAAGGAAAAGGGGAAATTTGATTGTTAAATCAAATTGGATTAAGGGAGCATCTGCTATGCAATCTGTGGATCAAGATCTGTCATAGTCTAATGATTGGCTTTTATTGACTTGAACACTTCATTATGAAACAGGAGCAAGAGATACAAATTTTACAAATAAAAAGGCTTTAAGTTGCTTTAACATAATAACTAAGTAGTAACATTCACTTTTGTTCTACTTTGTGGTGAAACGGTCTATGGTGCACATGACATTCCTAGTAAGAAATTAACTTCACTTAAGAAAATGTAATGAGTGAAGTGGCATCAACATGCACTTAATTGCATGCCACATTGGTTAAAACTGTCAGTTCAGTGTGTGCAGCTTTCATGCAAGGAAGAAAGAGGCAGAATGGCTTATTTTTCCAACAGGAACCTTCCAAATTGTGCATGGCTCCCCTCTGGCTAGCTGTTGAATTAGCAAATAACTGACACATTCCATTCTTCTCTCCCCACCCCATGTCACTATTTTCCACATTCCTTCCAAGGCAGTGAAGTAGCTTTCCCTTTTTACTGGACTTGGTACAGCAACATGGCACTAATAATATTTATGTTCACTCAGAAATAAATCCCACTGGAGGGAAAACTACATGTTCCGCTGCATTACCTTGGTGAACTACCTTTTCCCTGACAGTGTTCTGAATCCGTATCTAGTGTTCTGGTGAAGTAAACAGGGGTTCAGGATACTGACAAAGAAAGATTCAGGAGGAAAGCATCTGGCCACTTCTTTCCCATTAATCCTGCAGTGCAGGTTGACTTTTCTCAAGAAAGCATTGGACTGGAGAAGGGACAGTCATGACTACAATATACTCAGGAACTGCAGTGTAATACATAATTTGCCCTTTGGCTAACTCCCAAATAAATGCTCATAGGATCAAAGCTGCAGTCTGACGCTTTTTTCATTTTGGTGCCAGGCCAAACCTTTTTTATTTTTCCACTATTTTAGATGTTAATAGCATTTTAAGATTGGATTTTATTCATTGTAGTTTCTGAAGCTGTATCTTAATTATTTTATTGTATCACCACCCTGAGACATTGTGAAGGGCGGGATATAAAAGCTTTAAATAAATACCACCAGCCATCTGTTTACATGGACTTGTACCTCAGAACTGTAGATGGAGTTGCAGCAGCAACTGTTGTGGAATCCAGCAATGCAGCAAACTTACGCTTTTTTCTATTTATTTATATCTTCTCATGCTCTCTCAGGTTAAGAAAACAATGGAAGCCACACTGCAGACTATCCAAGATATTGTCACCATTGAAGATTTTGATGTCTCCGATTGCTTCCAGTATAGCAATTCCATGGAGTCCGTAAAATCAACAGTCTCCGAAACCTTCATGAGCAAACCAAGCATTGCAAAAAGAAGGGCCAATCAGCAGGAGACAGAGCAATTCTACTTCACAGTAAGAGTCTTGACTTTCAATGCACTTCTAACAAACAGATACATGTTGGAGCTAGAGACCTGCATGTGTCACACACAGTTCAGGCTAACAAGCTGTCAGGATCACTCTTGTAGTGAATAATGAGAATGGCCTACCCAAAGGATCAATGTCTGTCTGATCTCCCACTCACCTCAAAGCCCAAGTGCCTTATTAAAAACTGCTGGTATGTAAACACCATTTTCCAGAGGGGTAGCCATGTTAATCTCTTGCAACAAAACCAGAAACAAACATTTTTAAAAACTTATATGCCATTTTTTAGGGTAAACCCTTCTAAGGTGCTGTACAAGAAAGGTTAGAACTGAATGTACCAATTCAGGCAAGAGCACAAGGCACACAGAAGCAGCATCCAGCAAATGAATTAGCAGGATAGAGAAGTGCATGTGTACTTGGGTGTGGTGTGTGAAGCTTCTTTCTCTAATGCCACAGCCAGAGCACATGGAGCCCTTTTCCAAAAGTGAAAGCTATTCAGGAGAGTAAGAAGGATGTGTGTGGCTTTAGACCCTTGGCCCCAGTTCCTCTTTCCCCTCTAAACAACTGATTGGTGGAATTTTAGATTTGAAGAAAGGGCTGCACATGTACTTCACTGGAGCAGGGCATGTTTGCAGAAGGTGTTTTCTCATTGTTCTTTGACTCACTTTTCTAAAATGGATATTGTGATATTTAAAATAATTTTACTTCTCTTAAAAAGGTGGGTGTAACTTATGAAAATTGCTATATGCTATCTATGCTACTTTGGTGGGCAGGGTGGTTTAGTTTGGTCTGGTTTAGCGATAGGTTCATTGGAGAATGTTGTTGTGCATGCACACAGGAAAAAGGTGTCAGAACATGCTTGACCAGTTTATAGTTTCACTGGGAATGGGAGTTCAGACAACAAAGATGAAGGAGTTCTGGAATGTCAGCAACTCTACAGTATCATATCAAGGCCTGGAAATGTCTAAGGAATGAGGAGGGTTACTCTAGGTGGATGGAAATGATAGCCAGACATACCATAGGAATGGAGAGATAGCACAGCAAAGGGTGCAGTTGGCAGCCAAGGCCAATGGGAGAACAGGGACAGACTTGGGATCTGGCCAGGGTGTTCACCAAGAGTTAAGCAATGTGTTAAGCAAAGCAGAGGTCCTTCCCCCTGAAGAGGTGATGCCTGTTGCTAGGAGACAACACAGGCGGGAGATTCAGTTGATGGAGCAACTGAAGAAGTGCCGGCAGGTGAGGTGCCCCACCTCTGAGTTGGCATGGCAATGGGGTATAAGCAGGGTGAATACTGAGAGGTTTTAGAGGGGGATCAGCACTTACTCTGGGTGAACTCAGAGATGTGCAACAATAGCGATGTGTAACAATAAAGTCTTGTGAAAGGAAAGTCTGGAGCAGTGTGTTTACACAGGAGGAGGGCCATGTCTCATGACAAATATATCATTCTCTTTGAAAAGTTCTCAAAGTGCTTCAAAAACCACTTTAAAATAAAAGGTCCTCTTGGAAGATGAAATATGTGGGTGCAAAAAGTGATTCAGTTAAGTAGTAACAGATGTCCTCTACTATCTAAACGGTTATTCAATTGAACCTGCAGGTATTCTTTTTCTAGAAAAATGCCCTTTCTATTCAACTTAGCAACTATTAATTTATCTACAAAGGGTACTTCTTCACTGATGTAAATGCCATGCTTGCCCTCAACCAATGCCATTAAAATTTGACTTCTGCCTCTGCGAAAAAGAAATTCCGTTTGTCATGTCACATATTTACACTAAGGACAAATAAGTGGAAACTGAAAGAGGCTACTATATGAATAACCCCTTGTATTAGTCCAATCAAACACTTGATTGATCTTCCATACGAGAGGTGTATAAATATCCTTAATAAGAGTTTCAGGCTTTAGCTTACAAACATCAGATGTCTTATTCAATGTACAAACAGATTGTGGCTGAGCATTAATGATAGTGAGGGAAGAAAATATAGGGAACAAAGAATCTAAGATATCCATAGAACTGTGCATTTCAGTATGGCACATACTTGACAAGAAGGTAAAAGATGGATTGCTTTGAACATATGAGCCAGCACCTCAGGGTGAGTCTAAATGAGATCTTAGAAACTTCATTTTAGACAGGCACTGTTTTGATACTCTTTTTTCCAGTCATATTCATTGCATGATATTTTCTGCAGTAAATCTGTATTGTTAAGTCAAAATTTAGGATGAATCCCAAACAAATGTATTTGACACCTGTATTTGGTCAAGCTGAGCCACTGACTTCTAAATACTCAGTTAAGGAAAAGAAGCCACAGTAGCTTCTCTTCCTCACTGCTTGCATACTGGTCATGTCATGTGCCTACATGTAGCATCTGAACTCAGTAAGATGGATGGCAGGTTGCTTTCTGAACCACCCTACAGCATAAGAAAAGCCATCTAGCCCAGTGCTCCATACACCTGGTGGCAGACCAGCTGCCCACAGGAACCCTCAAGCAGGATGGGTGCAAGACCTGCCTGTCCTTTCAGCAACTGATGTATGTAGGCATGCCACCTCTGGTAAAGGAGGTACCATCTAGCCAGCAAGGCTAGTAGCCACTAATAGCCGCCACCGCCTCCTCTGTGAATCTGTCCAGTCCCCTTTTACAGCTATCCAAATTGGTGGCCATCAACAATTTTCATGGCAAGAAATTCCATAGTTTTACTATATGTTGTGTGAACATGTACTTCCTTTTATCTGTCCTAAAACCTTCCACCAATCCACTTCATGATTCCAGGTTTGCGTACTATGGCGCACCATGCATTTAAATACTTCTATCATGTCTCCCCCATTCACCTTTTTTGATGTTAAACAGCCCCAGTGTTTGCAGCCACTCTTTGTAGGGAAGTTGTTGCAGCCCTTAATCATTTTAGTTGCACTTCTCTGTACTTTTTTCCAACTTGACAATGTCTCTTTTCAGGTAAGGCGACCAGAACAGGAACACAATATTCTAAGTGTGGTTATTTCACTTTGTGTTAGGGGAGTAAGATTTTGGCCATTTTCTTTTCCATCCCTAATGATGCATGGAGCTTGCCTTCTTCACAGCAGCTGCACACTGGATCAATGTTTTCATCAAGCTGTTCAGCACTACCCCAAGATCTCTTTCTTGCTCAGGATCTGCTAGCTCAGATTCCAGCAGTGGTACTAGAAGTTGGAATTTTTTGCTCAACGTGTATTACTTGCATTAGGCTTCCTGGGTGGTTTGGTACCAGCATTCTCCCACCCTTGCCAAACTTGGACATCATTCCAGGTGGGGCAGAGAAGCCACTGTGGCTTCTTTTCCTTTCTTGATCATGGAAACTCAGCGTGGCATAACATCCAGGTATATAAGATTGAAACCAGTGTTAAGGCATGGCTGCGCTGACTGTGTGTGTCCTAGAGCAGCTTATTGTATTTAGCCTCACATCTAGAGTTTTCCTCCAGTGCTGCATCTTGTCACAGTGTGGAGACAGTTCTCTTTATTAGTACAATCTAGGCAGGTGCTGTACTAGAAATGGTGGTGCAAGCCAGTTTGCCACTACAGATGAGTCCATTTATGAACATCCAGGTCAACCATTTGAAATGGCAAGCTTCAGGAAAGCCTTTGGTTCTAAGAGGGAAGGAGAGAAATGAATAACTGGGGTTTTGCTGCATGACTGTGCTATTCACTGCACAGAATACTGCTGCTAATAGGAATGACTTCCAGCCTGCCACATTAAGCTGCAGGTACAGCCCCACCCTGGATCTACTCACAAAGAATTACCCCTGCCTGCTGCTTTTGTAAGTTAGCTTTGTGATGCTCACTTTATTATAATGACTGTAAATATGGTGAATGGAGAACAGGAATCACCAGGAGAAAGAGGGAGAATTGCTTCCTTTCTGCCGGAATCCGGTCCTGGAGGGAGAGCTGATATGCACAGCCTGAGAAAATCACCATTAATCCAGTTGTATTTATCAAAGCCCCTTTCCACTCCTTTTTAGAATAAATGATTGGGAAGAGAGGTTCAAAACCTTTGAACAAAGATAGACAGTCTTGTATTGCAATGGAAATAATTTTGATACAGACCCCTTGCTGCTATTTTTACTTATCATTTCAATAATATCCAGAGACAAGAGATGCAGATCAGGGTTCTCATGTACAAAATTTCATAGAAAACAAACATATACTTTTTTTATTTTTTCATACTTATTGTGTGCCTACTTTCGAAAGAGGGGTTAAAGAAGGATCTTTGAACTACAGATAATCCCTTCTGGAATAAACACTCTCTTACTATGTATTTACTGCTGTTCTCTAACACAAAATTGATTCATCTCAGGTGAGCATTTTGGGTCAAGGTGCAAAGAGGAAAATGGATTCACTTACAACCACTGACCCTGCTTGGGCATTATGGTTACATCCAGGAAATTAATCAACCCACTAATTGTGGGGATGCACACAAGTCTCTGGAATAACCTATTCATATTACCGTTATTATATTAAATCTATATCCTGCCTTAACTCCTCTTGTGAGGATCCCAAGGCAGTTTAAGTAGCTCCATTTTATGTCCACAAAAACAATCTTGTGAGGGAGGTTGGACTAAGAGTTCGTGATGGGCACAGAGTCACCCAATGAGCTTTATGGTCAAGTGGGGACTTAATTAGAATCTCTTAGGTCCCCAGTCCAGCAGTCTAACCACCACACTGCACTGGTTCTCAGCATGCATAGTTTGTTCTTGTAATGTCTGAACTCAGGCACTTGGGGTCATTTGTGAATTAAACAACCTCATATTGACCCATGTATTCCTTTTAAAAAGTCAATGTACAATAAATCTGTTGCTCTTGTTGTTGCCTTAGGCAGGAACAAGAGATAAAGAAAGCCTGGGATACATTCTGTTTAACTTCTGATAGAAAACGTAAAGGCAAAATAAATTAAATTCCATTTTGCTTTACTTTGTAATCGAAGCTATAATTTTTGCAAAGAGATTTAGCATTTTTATAAAATATAT